TCTTTACTCAATGATGTGCGTATGACTGTAGATTTTTAGCCTCTCACTTCAAGGAGCACACCACAACAAAGGTTTAATTTGACACAAATGAGTCAACCCTGTTTCACAACTCCGCATGAAACACAAAATTAGCTTTCGTCATATGGCACAAATCTTCATCAAAAACAAACACTCTGGGGGAAAAAAAACCACATTGGATCTAGAGTCCAGACTCTTGAGAACATTTACAAGCAAAAATACTCCTGATTCAATCAGATTTAAGCTTAAATCAAAAGGAAATCCGTTCAAATTAAGAGGCTTGGTTCTTGATTTAAGCACAATTCCGATTGAATCAAGAGTATTTTTTCTTGTCGATGTTTTTAAGAGTCTGGACTCAAGATCCAATGTGTTTTTTTCCAGTGTGGGTAAAAAAAGGCTGCAATACTATAAACACTAAGGAGGCACTGTCGTTTCCGGTGCATAACGTTTGCGCACACTTTTCTTACCGATAACGTTTGCGCACGCTTCTCACGAATATCATTTGCGCACACTTTTTACCGATAACGTTTGCGCACACTGCACTATTTGGCAACGCTGCAATGATGCTACGCGTGTCACCCGAAAACCGGAGTTTGTTTTGATCCGGGGGGTCATAGTATCGCTTGATGATAAGACACACAAAAAAAAGATGATGAAATTGTTTTAACCAATTCGTATCTCGATACGAATACGTATTATACGTCGTATACTCGACCTTATTTTCTTAACTTTCTTCATTTTCTATTTTCTTCTTATTAACTTATTTATTCATTTACTTATTGATTGCTTATTGGAATTTATTTAAACGAAAATTTCCCCTCGTCCGTTTATAAATCATCCGTCCGTTGAATTGTCTTATCACGAAGCGATACTACTGACGCATCATTGAAGCGTTGCCAAATAGTGCAGTGTGCGCAAACGTTATCGGTAAAAAGTGTGCGCAAATGATATTCGTGAAAAGCTTGCGCAAACGTTATCGGTAAAAAAAAGTGTGCGCAAACGTTATGCAGCCGTCGTTTCTACACAGTTAAAAAATGTTGTGTTGGATGTTTCTCTGTGTTACTTTTTTTGTGTCAGATCAATCCAAAGGAAGCTTGGTTGATCAACACAATTTTGTGTCAAATTGACCCAAACTGTAGGTTACCCTGAGACATCTGATCATGAAAAAAGTATATCCTGCCGGACTCATTTACACTCATTTTTCTCCCCATACTCTGAGGTCGTGCCTAGCGCGTGGCTAGCGCATTGCATTACCGACGGTATAGTCCATCTTCGATCCTGGCGGCTGGTGACTAATTCTTAACGACGTTGCAGATTTTCAACACAAAGATTTGGTAACTTCAATCCAAAAATTTTGTCGATTTCACACAGGGAAAACTAACACACACAAAATCAACAAACATCTTGTATTATTCCGTGTTTTACTTCCCATATCCACGCTCGATTTTGGTAGCTTTTTCTCACAGCAGAGCCGTTAAAGGCTCATTTTTAGCCGCAAAAAATTATCAATATTGGAATACATTAAAAATGTGAATGATGGCTAGAACTCAGTTGTTATGACGCAATCACTCACCGCGAGTCACCATTCCCTTAGTAGTTCAAGTGTTACGAAATGCACTTTTTCCGATTTTTGAACCCTTCCCCCTGCCCTAACGCACCCATAACGCAGGCCTACCCCCCAGACCCCCTTTTGAATTACGAAGGTAACGCTATCCTGACCCCGCCCCTATTTTCAAAAAAAAGGAGGGATTGCCATGCTTTGCACGTGTTTTAAAGTTTTTTCCCCTCCCGATTTGGATTTGTTACGTAATGCTGAGCTTGACCCTCCCCCCTCCTCCCCTTGTAACGTAGCGTAACGCTGGCTCAAACCCTCGTTACGTAATACTTGAATGCCCCCTTATTTGTGTGTCTTGCGCGCAACCGATGCGTGTTCAAAAAATAACTCAATTTTAAAATTTTGGCCATCTCAGCTCCCCCCGGTTTCATCAAGAAGATTCGCCACTTTTTCTCTCGGTTACTAAAAAAATTTTAAAAAAAAAAATGAGGAAAAAAGGTCTCCCCGGTTAGACTATAGACTCTGTACAGAGAAGAGTACTGCATGTCCTTTAACTGCTGGTCATAAGTACACGGAATGTGAGCGCGGAGGCTCCGGACGGAGTGGGCGGTTGGGGGGAGGGGGGGCGAAGGTGAAAGGGGGGTGGGATCGCTGGGGAAATCAGGGGAATCAAGAGAGATAGCTCATCTCACACAACTCTTCACCTCCGCAGCACCGGGTCGCACTCGAGTCGCTCGGGTCAGCTCGCGCACCCACCCATTACGATAAACAACGCGAATGGGGTAGATCGATACCCATTTTACTTTCCGAGGGAAACAAATAAAACTTTATCATTATACGCATTCCAATGGAGATGTTGCGTGTGTGAGGAATTTGCGATTTGGCGATTGATTCTTATGTAAAAGTTCGCGAGAAACACGAGAATGCCACTGGTTTTCCCTGAAATCAACTCCCAAACTCAAAAAAACGCTCTCAAAGTTGAGGCTGTATTGGTGGGGATATATCCCACGCTATCCTGAGAGTCCATCTCTACATCAAGACAAACTCTCCATGCAAAGGTAGGGAGCTAATACATTGACAGGGCTGCCACTTCATTTGGGGACTCTAAAAGTGAAAACACGGCAACCCTGCTAATGAATTTGCTCTCTATCTTTGCACGGAGAGTTTGTCTTGATGTAGTGGTGGACTCTCAGGATAGCGTGGGATATCCTCTCCATTACAGCCTCAACTTTGAGAGCGTTATTTGAGCGTGGGAGTTTATTTCAGAGAAAATCAGGAGGACCATCGTATTTCTTGCGAATTTTTACATGAGAATCAACAGTCAAATCGCAAATCTCTCACACATGCAACATCTCCAGTCAGAGATTCTTCTCGAGTAATCGGTCCGTTCATTTTAGAGACGGATATACATTACAAGTGAAATGACAGTATATAGGGGTGCTAAGGGTCTGTTGTACGCGAAATACACAGGCAACTGAATACCAGGGCCGGTTTAAGGGGGTGGCCACATGGGCCGCGGCCCATGGGGGCAAATTTTGCAATTTTTTTAAATGTAGGTAGAGAAAAATCGGATTCGGAAAAAAAAAAAATATCAATGAGAGGCGACGAAATCTCTCTTTTCTGAGAGTGCAGTAATTTCTAATTTTGTCGTTTTCTGGTGATACACGAAATAGCATATTTAATTAGTAGATTGAAGAGAGGAACTTAACACGCAATTATGCCTGGAGTTTAACGCAGAGAGGAATGATAACGAGGACTTGAGATAGAAAGACAAACCCTCGGCGCGGCGATCGATATGTAACACATATTAGCGCCTGCAAGACTGTGCAGGAATACTTCACGCATTGCGCCAAACATAGTGCGATCAGCGCAGCGCAGCGGCGGAAGGTAAAATTATTAAACCACATTTATGTTTGTTCTTTCATAATTTTTTGGTTCATTTCGTATAAATGGAGGACCTCGTCCACATATAGATCGGTTTACGGAACTGAACTTTCGCGCAAAGTTCCGTAAAATTTTGCTAGTAGTGTTGACAGGGCTTTCGCAAAAAATGTATCCAACACGAGTAGGTAAACGCGTCTTATGCATTCCTCCCCCTCCGGCACGTTCACTTCATGGTTTTTATTGATGTTTCAAAACGAATGAGAAGGGGGCGGCAAAATACAGGCGGCCCTTCGGCGGCAAGTAGGTAAATCCGGCCCTGCTGAATACCAAGCTTGAAAGTACATTTGAAGGGCTTGGAGGGCGAGACGCATAAGTGCAATTCTCGCTATTTCAAGAAATACGTGTTTGAAGTTTCAAAAATACGTGGATCCAGATGGTGAAAAGAAAGTTCAAACTGTCATTTTGATGCTAAAATATTAGGATTCGGGAGCTAATTTTCCCAGAATATGCATTTGAGACGATAAATTTAATCGAAATCATTAGTAACTCAATATTTTTCAAAAACAGCACTTGCGCACCCTGTCCTCCAAGCCCCTCATTTGCTCGAAAATCACGTTGGCCACATCAAAAAAGTCTGATATCCGCTCCTTAACTCGCAATCTGCATGTATAACACGCTTTTTCGAGTTTATCGCGTCTGCGGGCAGTTTTTCTCAATCACCGCCGACCAGGTTTCCACAGGCAGAGGGGTAAGAAAGAACTACCCGAAGTAAACATACGATTAACTAACTTTTTGTAATTGTATGATTTCATTTGTTTTGGAGCGTTCGTTTCCTTTTTCTCTCTGTACTTTGCAAAAAGAAAAGCTTCGAATCAATTGAATTCTTTCGCAATGAGAGTTCATAACAGGTTGCAAGATTGTTTGTTTATTCAGGTCAGATCTCTCCGGGCAAACCTGACGGCCGGCCACCACGAAAAACTGCCCGCCTATATGCGGTAAATTTGAAGACGCGTGTTACAAACTACGCAGAATGCGCGGTGAAGGAGTTGATTTCAGACTTTTTTTATGTAACCAACGTAATTTTCGAGCGCATTTGCTCTTAGTAAGTGTATTCAGTTGGCTGTGTCTCATGCGTGCAAAAGACCCATTGGTGAAAACACCATAAATGTGCAGCTTTGAATTCGAGGACTAACCCATATGAATTGAAGATCGATTGGTATAATCGAGTTATCGAAATTTCTCGCATTCATGTTCGATTTAAAGCCATTTTTTGTTTTGCCAAAAAAAAGGTCAGTCCGGGTGCGTGCGTCAATAGGTTGACACGAAGAGGAAAACTGCATGCTAAATATGCTACAACTTGATGAGAGAGGGAAGAATCGCTTCAGCATTTTTTTCAATGAGGGATGCCGGGCTGCAAATTAATTTTTTTCCGATTTGATAGTCTGAAACTCCCCATGCAGATGCGAAAGAGCTATGTTCAAGTGTCACTTTCGTGTCTGAGCCACGTCATTAAGACATCTATAGTAAAAATTGTCATCTCCTCCTGCATGAAAGCTCGTGTACGAATGGAAAGTCTGTGTTGAAAACTTGAACCTCACTCGATAGGCATTAGCGTCAGTAAGAACAATATAGGTACTAACAAGCTCATTTTTAGCGTGGATGTCACCATAAGTGTGTGTATCATGTCTCCGGTTATAATTTTAATGGCCGTAAGCTTTAATATGATAGGTCCTACCTCATGTACCTACCGTAAGTTATTTTTGAATTTGTTCATCTTGGACCTTTGGTTTTTCAGTCCTTTCGCATAGTTCTATAGTAATATTTTTTGTGCGATGAAAATTGAGATGAGAGAGTGGCTTGCTGTGTTTTGAAAACAGCACAAAATTTGAGATGGAACTGACAAAATGATTCAATGCAATATTGACGGCATTGTTTTAGGATAGGCTGCAGGTAAAAGACAACTCATTTGTACTGAAAAAAACAGATCTTATAAAGCACAACCTTCATCAGAACATGTACCTAGAGCATGCCGAACATGTCACAAACTTTCAAAAACAAGTCATAAGTGAGAAATTAACTCGCGCCGGCTTAAAAAGAAAAATCGTTATCAATGTAGGTCTTTGGCATTGAAAACAACCCATACCTTAGGCAAATAATTGAAGGTTGGCTCAATACCCATTTTCCTCCGCCCTTTCTGATTCCTAGCCTTTATGATCTTGTCAAAAAGAGGTAAAAAGACACCACTTTGGAGAATTCATAAATTCTTAAAAGTACAAACCGAAAGTAGTTTAGTGCTCGATTTGACAGAAATGGACTACGAGGGGCGTTCAATAAGTAAGTATCCCCCCTCTCTAAAATTCATAAGAATGGACCAATTTTAAAAAAACTTGGGCTCAAAATCTTCCTTAGGATATTTCGAGTTCAACAAAACAAACCGCAACAAAATCGGACTATGTGCGGCCGAACGCGAACCGTTTGAACGCGCCGAGGTGCTCGACGCTCCCGCCGAATCTGCGAGGATTTGAAGTCCGCTACAGGAGAAGAGCTTCTCTGCCAAAGCCTCAGTCGTTCATCACTGACGAAAAATCAAAGAAATTTTTGTAGAATAAGGGGCTTACCTCACTTCTCCACATAACCAGCTCGATCCAAGCAAGTCTGATACTGAGACTAAGACTAAGAGAACAGCTTTTGGATGCCTCGTGCGTGGAAGTCTTTCAGCTGACCGCGGATGAAAGAGTGGACGGCTTGTTTGACCTCTTTCACTGATTCAAAATTAACTCCTCCGAGTTCAGATTTCAGATTCGATGATAAATGGCAAACCAGACCACCATTTATTCCCGTTCCTGAAATCTGAACTTGGAGGAGTTAATTTTGAATCAGTGAAAGAGGTCAAACAAGCCGTCCACTCTTTCATCCGCGGTCAGCTGAAAGACTTCCACGCACGAGGCATCCAAAAGCTGTTCTCTTAGTCTTAGTCTCAGTATCAGACTTGCTTGGATCGAGCTGGTTATGTGGAGAAGTGAGGGAAGCCCCTTATTCTACAAAAATTTCTTTGATTTTTCGTCAGTGATGAACGACTGAGGCTGTGGCAGAGAAGCTCTTCTCCTGTAGCGGACTACAAATCCTCGCAGATTCGGCGGGAGCGTCGAGCACCTCGGCGCATTCAAACGGCTCGCGTTCGGCCGCAATATGGTCCGATTTTGTTGCGGTTTGTTTTGTTGAACTCGAAATATCCTAAGGAAGATTTTGAGCCCAAGTTTTTTTAAAATTGGTCCATTCTTATGGATTTTAGAGAGGGGGGATACTTACTTATTGAACGCCCCTCGTATGTCTTTTCGAAGTGAGAAGTGTGAAGTGTCCTTAAGTATAATGGGACTCAAGGGTAGAGTATTTGGATTACTGCACAGATTCCGGACGGAACATATGCGAATGAACCTGCAAAACAATCTGAATAAATAAAACCAAAAATACTTGGAAGCTGTTTCCTCAGAAATCCATCGTCGACCTAAGGGCCTTCTTACAACTATCTCTTCAAATATATCCAGTGTTTAACCACCACGGGCCTTCTTACAACTATCTCTTCAAATATATCCAGTGTTTAACCACGTCGGGCCTTCTTACAACTATCTCTTCAAATATATCCAGTGTTTAACCACGTCCGTCGCTTTTAGGCGAGCTACTTCCTACCGATATGGAGGAGTGCCACGAGATGAAGGAAATATGCAAAAATAAGGGAGGATACATCATTGGAGGAGAATTTGTACTGCCGATCATGCGTATACATGTACAAGAAGAGATGGAAGATTGGGAACGTGAATGTGGATGTAGCATAAGCCCAGAAGTGTATTCTTATCTAGAAACTCATCATTATGATGTCGACGGTTTCCAGTTTTCGGTGTATGATGACTTGCCTGGTATCCGAGAATGGTTAGAAGAAAACAACATCAAATTCTTGCCAGGTATAGAAGAATGAGTTGAAATATTTCCCTAATAATTTTGAAGTCAATCAAAAATATTACGAAATGCATTTGAAAAATAAAAACACACTAAAATACAAAAAAAAACAAATGGGTATACAAGGCCAGAGGAGACATAAAATAACCAGGACGTTTCGGGCCAATTACATGCCCATTCTCAACTGGAACAGAAGCTAAAAAATGTAAAAATTAAAACGAGAAAATGAGCATGCAACTGACCGAGGTAGGAATTAGTGCAAACTCACTGGTTTGCACTCTCAGGTTTGCGCACTGCTTCCTACCTCCGTCAGTTGCATGCTCATTTTCTCGTTTTAATTTTTACATTTTTTAGCTTCTGTTCCAGTTGAGAATGAGCATGTAATTTGCCCGAAACGTCCTGGTTGTTTTAAGTCTCCTCTAGCCTTGTATACCCATTTGTTTTTTGTATTTTAGTGTGTTTTTATTGCTGTCTGCATTCGGGCTATTGTGTCTCTCGCTCTCTTATCACTAAAGCATTTGTTTATATATTTTAAAGACATCGTTCGTAAAATTTTAATTTAAATAAGGGTCTTCTTGCATCTATCTCCTTAAAGACATCCAGTCTCTAACCACGCCCTTCGCTTTTAGGCATCAATATGGAGAAGTGTCACAAGTTTTGCTACAAGTATGGAGGATACATCATTGGAGGACTTCAACTACCGACAATATATATCTTGCATGGACGGGAAGATACGAACAATGGAGTGCCTGAATGTGAATGTAGATTGAACTCAGGCGTGGAATTTTATCTAGAGAATGAAGGTTATAATGTCAATAGTTTCAAGCACTCGGTGTATGATGGCTTGCCCGGTATCCGGAAATGATTGAAAGAAAACAAAATCAAAGTCAGACCGAGGTTCAAATTTAAATATTGAAAGATTCCGAATATTTTCCTTATAATCATCGAAGTCCATCAAAAATATTACTAAAGCATCTCGACAAGGCATCTCGGAGATCGCCAAACATCGCATATGAGATACGTAGTTGCGGACTTAGACCGTCGAAATTTATGTTATTTGTTGTAGCTTTCTTTGAATAATATTAATGATTAAACAGTACTGAAAACGTAAAATTTCAGAAAATTCACCCAATCGTTTCCTTTCTAAAACGAAAATTAGCTCTGGAGATTCTAACTAAGAAATGTCCCTGCTGCACCCAACGCTTCAATGGATTTGCATGCACATTTTTTATTGCTTCATCTGAAAGCACTTAAAGAGCTGATTTCGCAGTATTTTCTCTAATTTTTTTCTGATATGGGAAATAATCTAAAAATGTATTTAAAAGTGAGAAAATGCACCACCTTGTGATGTCATCTGACGGCATTTCTCACATGAACACCCGTATTTTAGCAGATTAGATCATTTTGTCATGTCTTCTCCAATAATTGTTCAGTTTATGAACTGAGGGTAGCCTCGTGTTCAGTTCGCTCCGTAGTTTCCACTTAAACACGATACTTATCAAATTGCAGACACCTGCAAAGTCTCTATTGCATGGTTGTTACTGCTCTTTTCATGGACCTCGCAGATTTCTCGCAGTGTCCAACGTATCTTTTCCATCGGTGCGCAGAGGTCAGTCGTGAAATTCTTGACTATAGTTGTAAATTTTAATGCTTATTTTCCCCTTAACAGGGAAACCCATTGGACCCACTTTCATATTTCTACGTCTTGTTTTAACGAAGATATAAGTTTTTAAAGTCCATCGTGTGCAGCTTCTCTTTTTGACTTGCTCCACCGTGTAGCATAGAGTGGGTCCGATTTCAGCTGAAAGGAACCAAGTCGCATCAGCTATTGTGAAATTTAACTGGGCAATTCAATTTTGCTCAAGAGACTGTTTGTGCGCATGACATTGACAATTTATAGGAATGTGCTTCGTACTATGCAGACAATTCACTGAAATTCGCACAAAAATCCGTAAAACCATTTCCATGTTAAAAACTAAATTGCCCAATTGGATTTGGCAATAGCTGATGTGACTTGGTGTTCCTTTCTGCTTAACGCGGTCCATTTTTTAAGGATGTTGAAAGAGATTGGATAGTTGAATCGGTGGATGTTAAAACCTAATACATGAGTTATCTCATAAACTATAGAATCTAGGCATCCTTATCAAGCTCAGAGTTTTGCAGAATATGGACTTGCGATGTTATAGGGCGCTGAAAGAGGTCGGATAGTTGAATCGGTGGATGTTAAAACCTAATACTTGAATTATTTCATAATCTGTAGAATCTAGACGTCGTTATTAAGCTCAGAGTTTCGCAGAATATGGACTTGCGATGTTTGAGGGCGCTGAAAGAGGTCAGATAGTTGAATCGGTGGATGTTAAAACCAAAAACACAAATTATTTCATAATCTGTAGAATCTAGACATCTTTATCAAGCTCAGAGTTTTGCAGAATATGGACTTGCGATGTTTTAGGGTGCTGAAAGAGGTCAGATAGTTGAATCGATGGATGTTAAAACCTTATACACGAATTGTTTCATAATCTGCAGGATCTAGACATCCTTATTAAGCTTAGAGTTTTGCAGAACATAGACTTGCGATGTTTTGGGGTACTGAAAGAGGTCGGATAGTTGAATCGGTAGATGTTAAAACCTAATACACGAATTATTTCATAATTGGACCGCGTTAAAAAGAAAGGAACCAAGCCACGTCAGCTATTGCCAAGTTTAATCGGGCAATTTATTTTTTTACGTGAAAACGGTTGTGCGGATTTTTGTGCAAATTTCAGTGAACTTTCTCCATAATACGAAGCAAATTCCTTAAAAGTTTCAAAGGAATCTGCACAGACGTTCTCTCGTAAAAAAAGAAATTTCCCTCTTAAATTTGGCAATAGCTGATGCGGCTTGGTTCCTTTCTGTTTAACGCGGTCCAAAATGTAGAATCTAGACGTCCTTATCAAGCTCAGAGTTTTGCAGAATATGGACTTGCGATGTTTTAGCATCGAATGAATCGGCTGTTTGGGAGACGTAGAACTAAACGCTCGGACGGAGGGCTGTTGCTTTTAAGAAGGGTGATTTGGTTCCGGGCGAGGAGCTTCCTCGCTTCCGGCGCCGGAACCATCGTCCGCCTCCGATCCCCAAATCCCTCGCCGGAAGTTACGTGAACTTCCTTACTTTCGGGCCGGGTATCGTAAACGTCTCGTCAGATTTCCCTATCGACCGCTTAACTCACGGGAATTTGCCCTCAAAACGCAAATGAGGCGATGAGTACATAAGAACGCATCTCGGTTGCGAAGTTTGGGAATCCACTGTGCTAATTCATATTTTAAAGGGGAAACTGATGGGTAAAGTGAGATGTTACATGTGTGAGGAATTTCCGATTTCACTATTGATTCATATGTAAAAGTTTGCGTGAAACACGATGGTGCCCCTGGTTTTCTCTGAAATCAACTCCCAAGCTCAAAGAAAGCTCTCAAGTTGAAGCCAAAATGGAGGGAATATTCCATGCTATCCTGAGAGTCTACGTCTACATCAAGACAAACTCTCCATGCGAAGATAGGGAGCAAAATACATCAGCAGGGATACCGTGTTTTCAGTTTTGGAGTCCCCAAATAAAGTGGCAGCCTTGTCAATGTATTTGCTCCCTATCTTTGCATAGAGAGTTTGTCTTGATGTAGAGGTGGACCTTCAGGATAGCGTGGGATATCCCCTCCATTTTGGCTTCAACTTGAGAGCTTTTTTTGAGCTTGGGAGTTGATTTCAGAGAAAACCAGTGGCACCATCGTGTTTCTTGCCAACTTCTACGTAAAAATCAATAGTCAAATCGCAAATTCCTCACACATGCAACATCTCCATTTTCTTTAACTCGTTTAGAGCATTGCAAAACCTTAAAGGATATTTAGTCAAAGTTTCAACAAATTACATGCATATCGATGGCTAATATAACGATAACGCTTCTCTACGAACTGACAATTCTACAGTACCAGGGAAAAACTTCGCTATTTTTGCAGTTGGCAATATTCCTATTTCATGCCGGCGTATCCATACGCTGTACAGTGTACATACGCCTCATCTCACGTTAATCACAGCACAGAGGTACAACTATTCGTGCATGATAAATGTCCGTGTTGCGTCTGCAAAATTGAAGGCACTCATGCACGAGGCGTGAACACGCGATGTTCCGCACTATGCTGCCTGTGAGTTGCCGCTCAGATTTGGGAAAAAGGTAATAAACGAGGCCGGAATACATACCTCCTATCTTCGGCTCTGTTGCTCAGGTAGCCTCTTAAGCACCACCGCAAATCAGACAACATTCAACACAATATTGATTTACCGCAAGGAAGATGCGGCGCGTCAATGACGGCGCAGAGATACGACTATTCGTACTTGATGGATGTCCATGTTGCATCTGCAAAATTGAAGGCGCGATGGCATGCCACTTCAAATACGAGATGGAGCAAGGGAAAAGACGCGCGTTGACGACGGCGCAAAGATACGACTATTCGTACTTGATGGATGTCCGTGTTGCATCTGCAAAATTGAAGGCGCGATGGCATGCCACTTCAAATACGAGATGAAGCAAGAGAAAAGACGGCGCAGAGATGTAACTATTCGTACTTGATGGATATCCGTGTTGCATCTGCAAAATTGAAGGCGCTATGGCACGAGGCTTGACTACGCAATGCTAACATGCTGCGTATGAGTTCTCACACAGATTCGGGAGAAAAGTTTAAAAACGCGACCCGAACAACTCTTTCTTACTTTGCCCGTGTTAAAACTCGCGTTTTTCAATTTGATGTCGGATCCTTTTTTAGGATATATTTGTAGTGTAGACCTATATTTGAAGCTCGTACGTGCCGGCCCCACAAAACCTGCGGGACACGTTTTTTAGCAAGCCTCGGGTCAATCTGACCCGGGTTAAACGGTATTCTTCCGTCCTAAGGAAAAACGCCGTATGAACATCAGAGAGTTGCCAAATTTCCTTCGATAAAATGCTCATTTTCTAGGAAAGTTATGAATATTTTTCCTTTAAATTTTCAGGACTTCAGGTGAAATTGCGCACAAAATTATCTGAAAAATCAAAAGGAAAATATTCATAATTTTATCAGGAAATTTATGTTTTATTAAAGGAAATTTGGCAACACCTGATGGCTCATACGGCGTTCTTCCTTAGCACGGCAGTATTGTTCTCTCGTCGTGGATATACTTCGATCTCAATGAATGGAACGTTAGCGGAGACTGTGAGACATTGCGACCGAAAGAAGCCTTTTCTGCGCTTGAAATTAGCTGGACACGTACATCCATGATACTCAACAAACAACAAAGTGAATTTTTACGTAAACGTATCAAGTGGAATTTCGGAATGAAATGAGTTCATGAAGTAGATGAGAAACCGGCAATGCAAAAAATATTTACTCATTATTATTAATAATTAACTACTCAGTTTAATTATAGCGCAATCAATCTCACTACTTGGAAAAAAATGACATTGCGGATTGAACAATTTTGTAGCTAAAAAAAAGCCCAACATGTTTAAATGTATATTTTACAGTAAAAAAATGCTATGATTTACCCACCCCCGTGGTTAAAATAGCTTTCCACTGTTGTAAAATGTACATTTGAAACACGTCGGTCATATTTTTTAACAATTGAATCGTTAGATCAGTAATCCACTTTTTCGCATTTAAGGATCCCATCCAGTTAGGAGATAGGAGATAAGCAACATGCATAACTCTCCGATGTATTAGTAATCATTGTAGCATGTAATGGACCACTAGACAAGGTACGAATTTAAGCATTCCGGTACATGTTTCTTAACCAAAATTTCACGTAGAACACGATTCGCGCAACGAAAATTACTGAAACCAACTCCTAACGAAGATATTAACCTTTTCATTTCACATTGGTTACGAGGAATTTGAACTGCCCGCTCACAAGAAACTCAAAGCTCTACGTGAGTCAAATCGCGCACGACAACGGTCTCAGCAAGTTTCTTAATCGAGCAATATTCATTTCCCACCATGTGTCGTTCGAACTATAGGCAATTTGCTATAGCTGAGCCAAAGCGTCAAGATTGAGGTTGCCAGATTTTTACATCGCGCAGAGACTGTCATGATAACGTTTAGCGCGCGATGTGAATCACGTACAGCAT